GTTAATTATGCATATAAAGGAATATTTTTGGATGGGATTTCTAGCTTTGAGAGGAGAAGCTGCTCTGAAAGCAAGATTACCAAAGGAAGCAAAGAGGAGTGGTGCAGCCGTGAGTCCGTACGATAAGGTCTTAGCAAATTCTCCTTCTCAAGCGACTTTTCAAAGTGAAATCGAGAAAGAGGACCTTCCCTGTGTGGGTGACTTATTACAACTCACTCAAAAAGGTGATAAATCTCATTTCTTTTTCCTCCACGAATATTCCCCCCCATGGCATTGTGAAAAAATCTCGACTCTCATGTATACAAAGAGCAACTGATAATTTAGAATGTGTCGTAATACGGTGAATCTGCCTAAACATCCAGTTTTGTTTTAATCGATATAATGAATCTAATACCTGATTGTTTGAATCCTCAGGTGTGCTACAATGGAGAAATGTTTCTGTCTATATCAACAAGGCATGCGAGGTATATCTATCTGTGCGCGTGTGTGTATTGTACATATATGATATATAACAGCTATACCCATATACAGATTCATATGAATATAAGGTTGCTGTATATACATTATATATGGGCAATGCTTATCAAACGTATATTGCAAGGATGACAGAAAATCAACCGGTTTGCAGGTTACGATCAAGTTGAAGAGTAGACACATTGGTGTAGCCTTTTACAGAAAGAACAAATGTAAGTTTTTTGACACCATCAAATCATAATGGATGTCTTTTTAAAGGATATTTCCTTCTGAAACATATTTCTCTAAATATTTTCGCAGGCATTGTTTATGAAGTCATTGACGAGAGTGATGAATGGCCATTCAAAAAAGGAAGGGAATATGTGGAAGTGAACTTCGGAGTGAAAACATCTCAGGGACTGTTGGAGTTCAAGTGCAGGAACAAAGTCCATAAGCAGAAATGGGTGTGTGCAATCCGGAAACTTCTCGAGCGGAGCACAAAGTTCGAAGAGGCTAAGGACGCCCTAAGAAAGTTAAATATCAATAAGAGCATCTAATCACTTTTTATTCAGACAAGTTTTTCTCTGTAATGGAAGTTCTATTCACAATACACATTGAATATATAGAAGCAATCATCTTCAGACCAAACTCAATCTGAGTAATGGATGTCTAAAGTGTGGTCTTTCTTTGCGAAGTGTCTGCAACTAAAAAACTGAAAAAAACACGTGTCACAATCTTAGAATGAGGAGAAACAAGACTGTTCTTTTTTTTTCTTACTTTTTTTCAGAGGTTAAGACATTGGCTATTTGGCTGTACATTTCTTCCATGTTGCAATAAGTCAAGGTTTTGATATTTTCGAAAAATACCATTAAGTTGGCTGTCATTCAGTCGGATGATTCTTTATGTTCAATGATTTTTTATTTATTTATTTGTAATTTTCTTTTGTGATTGTTGAAAGCCGTAATTTATATATTGTAGAAAACAAATAGACATCACCGAAAACTATCAAATAATTTTCAGGTAAAATTTCGTGGCTAAAAGATCATGCGCTAACACCAACTATCTCCAATCCATTCACATTGTGTAAGCTGACGAGAGTATTTCCATTTTCCAAAGCAGAAACGCTTTTCATACGAGCAAAGATCCAAGAAATCTTTATCTTTATTTCAGTATATATCAGGGGCATACAAAAATCAAGTAAAAGATATAAATTTCAACACAATATTATGCAGTAACAATGGAATTAGAGCATTTCAAGTTATGGGAAAAGAATGGGGCATACAAAAATCAAGTAAAAGATATAAATTTCAACACAATATTATGCAGTAACAATGGAATTAGAGCATTTCAAGTTATGGGAAAAGAATGGGGCATACGTACATGTGTTGTGTCATTAGCCTCAAAATACAACAGTCCTGTTTCTCTCATAAGGCAAAACCCGCAGTTCACAGTATGACTGTATTGCTTTCGCAAGACATTGCTTTTCTAAGTTCTCAGATTTCTGTACAAAACTCCGCAAATTATCTCTGTGGGAGACTCTTTCCACCTGAGGCAATAAAAGACAATATATTCACATTTATTGCGTAAGGCACTTGAAAAGTGCAACCGATTATAAGTTCCTACTTTCGCATGCTGATCTTACTATCCCTTTGCAGGAAAGAAAAGGATTTGGAAGATAGTTGCAAAAAAATGATTAGATGCAAAAAAAAAAAAAAAAAGCAATTTAAATGGTTGTAGCAAAGTTGGTTTCGATGTCAAGCAGTTTGATATGTGATTTTAGGAGCCTCACGAGGAAATATTGAAATTACACTCGAACAGTTATGAGAAAAAAAACTTACTATAGCTAGATTTGGAAGTACATTAAGCGTAAGTGTGGTTTTTACCATTTGCTCAATGATGGGGCCTTCATCAAGCTCTTCTGTGACGAAATGACTTGTTGCCCCAATCAATTTCACCCCAGCATCAAAGGCTTGCTTAGATGGGCTCCCACCTTTGAAAGAGGGCAATAGGCCATGATGAATATTTATAACATCTTTTCCATAGCTTCTTAAAAAATTTCCAGAGAGTATCTGCAGCAGTTAACCGATGTTTTTAAAGTAGAGCCATTCTGGTATGGAATTATGTAAGAATGGATAAGATAGATGAAAAATCATGCACATTGCAAAGTTAAGTCAGCTTTTTTAAATGCAGTTATACACCTCAAGAACCTACCATAAAAACACTCGGTTCTACTTGATAACTGGGAAATGAAAGATATTTACACTAAAAAAAATACTCATGCTCCATGGTTATATTATTACGTTACAGGCACCACTCTATTGGAGCTGAATACATTGTCAAGCATATGGCTCCAGATTACACTTAAAGCCTCGTTTACTTAAAATGATGGGATTGGACAGTTTAATCCAATCAACTTTACACGTCATCTTGTGTCCAATGTAGTTACAAAACGTGATGCATTTTTAAGGCAAAAAAATCAAGCAATTACTAACCTGGATAAAATGACAGGATGAAAAACAAAAATATGAGGTAAAAGTGTGGGACACACAGTACAATTTTATATGGCCTAAAATCTGTAACTTGGTGGACTTCTGAGGGTAAAAGGGACACATTTCACACGCTAATTTTTTAACAAAATGGTCATTTCTAGGGTGGGATTAAATTGTCCCACCCTCAAGACTGGACAAAATAATCCGCCAAGACAGGATTAAAGTGTGGGACCCACAGGACACATCAATTTTATATCCAATCCCATCATGGTTAGTAACCGTTGGATAACAGGAGTTAACCAACCACATCCTATCCTATCAGCTTAAGTAAACGATGCCTTTACCTGCATGTACCTGGCAAGAACTAGAAAGTCTGTATCCTTCACCAAATTCAACATATCTCCTTCTCCTTTGTCTTCAGCACTTATTGGCAAATGGTGGTAAGGAATTCCATGCCTTTCAAGAAATCGCATCACATGGGTGTTTGGCCCTCTATCGTGATTGCTGTTGAGCATATATTATTATTATTTATATTTTTTCACAGTAAATAATCTATAGATAAAATTAAATGAGTTGAGACTTGAGAATATATTCAATTTCACCTTATAACAGCTGTGACATTAACCGGAAGTTTCCTGTCCTGCCAACAATGCAGCAAATCAACAAGGCAATGGTCCTGATATAAATGGGAACAACTTAATAGTTAATTCTATGCCCCAACATTTTATTATACCTATCAAGTTTGCCATCACATACTTGTTGGATGGTTTACCTGCTTTGAAGCAAGGATTGCAATCTCATATTTAGGATCTAATTTGGGCACTCGAACAACAGACCTAAACGCATTAAACATCTCTGAAAGCTTCAAGAAATCTTCATCCATTTGCTCCCGAGGCCATTTAGAAGGGTCGAAAAGGAACTCACTGCAACTTACAGCAAAATAATTATTGACATATGAATACATGTTAATTCATGCGAGCAATATCTGAATGATAAAAGTAGCACTCATCTAAATTTATGCTTGTAGAAACAACACCAATCATCTAAGTTCTCTGTATAGATTATACATCCCTCGACAAATAACTCACAATGGTGTGATATTTACATTTGCAAGGTGGAGGGCCTAAATCTAATGACAACTGAAGTGAATGACGACGTGCACATTAAAAGAAGTGGCAGCAATTGAACTTACATAAATTGAAGTTTTATTTCTTTAGCACCATTCAAATGATAAAAGTAACTTCGTATTGTAAACTTAGTTACAACATTCAATGAATTTTTCAACACCTTGATATGTTGATTAAGTGCCACGAACTACATGCACACCGAGGTTTCATATCATCAGTTACAAGAAGCAAATCATGTAAGATGTACCATATCTTCACAGTATACTAACTGCTTTGAAACAAAGTAATGGAATGTCGAGACTCGAGAGATTGTTATATCTGAACTTTACTTATTATAAAGATTCTCCTTATTTGCTTTAAATTAATATATTCCTTACCTTGTAGGAAAATGAATGATCATGTAGAATAAAATGAGTAACAGCTTTTTGAATAATGGGCAAGAATTTTTTAATAACGGGAGCACGAGACTTAGAAGAATTCTCACCTATTCTCGTTCCATAGAAGTTTGAAGGGATCCATACAATGCTGTCCAAGTTCACATTGTAACCAAAAGAGTAGTTAAGCTTCGATTTGTACCCATCGACTAAACACTAGCTTAATAAAAGAGTTCTAAGGGGGAGTGAGGCCTCCTACTACTCTCCCCCACAATCTCTCTATGTTACAAAAACATATAACATCCTTTACAGACTTGCAAGTAAGAATATATGTTAGCTTTGAGGTTCAAAGCCAGCGAACACAATTCAAAACAAACCTCAATCACATCAAAATGCATCAAAAGTAAAAATACGAAAAGTTAGAAAACAGACAGAATGAAAAACCAGCTGGGAAAGGAAAAGTACCTTCTGGAGTAAAAGACATTCTCTTTTTCGGGCACAAAAACATCGGCACTGAGAATGTTACCACCCCTTGAAGCTATGCACTCAGATAATTTGGCCACAATTCCCACTTCATCCTGATTATGCACAATGCCAAAATGTCAAGGCCCTATTCCACCTAACTATTTAATCTTAAATGAAATCAAATAAAAAAAAGGGGAAAATTTTGTTATTTATTAATTTCTTCAGGATTGCAACTTAACCATAATTATATACAAAATCAAGAATCAAACCCACAATATCCCTACAAAATTTATCTCTTTTGTCATCGACCCTGATAATGTCTTGCAATTATCATCTCCCTCGTCATGTTAAAAACAAAATATTCCCCAAAATCAAAATAAAAAATTGTTCTTTTTCCAACTTCAGTTGCACCTTAGAGCCAAGTTAACGTACGGCCAAACCAATTCATTCAATATTCGTACGTCTGAATGTAGTCAGTGATTATCGGCTTACCGGACAGTAAAAGACATGAACGCCATGGACGAGTGACGGGGAGGTGGCGTCATCAAGGCATTCTCCCGGGAGCTTCACAGATTTGAATGACCTTTTTGCCAATGCATCACGAACTCGAGAAGAGTATCTCCCGCAGGTCCTTCGGATAAGGAAGCTCATGTCCGAATGAAAAGAGAGAGAGAGAGAGAGAGAGAGAGAAACGCAGGCGCACACACACTACCCCTCCCAGTGTGTGTGGATGAGATTTGAGCGTTGATAAGCTTGAGGACGTTACGATATGAGATAAAAAGGAATTTGTTTTAGGCGGGTCGGACCGGAGCACGTTACCCGTATGATATATTGGGTCCCGCCAAATTCAGGATGGATCAAAGTGAATATGTTGCGTTTAATAACAACACGGGACTTTGTAGTGCGGGCGAATAGATTATGGATGAATTTGGTGGGTGGATCGAAGGGTTTCTCACGAACATTGGTTGTAGCACCATTACGAAGGCTGAACTTTAGGGTCTCTTTCAGTGACTACAATTGGCGCGGAAGTTAGGGTTTCGACAGGTTATTATCGAGATCGACAACCAATGTGTGACGACAATGATCCTTGAGTCCAAGGAGAATTTTGGAATTCACGAGGCCTTTGTCCGGGCCACTCGTTGTGAGCGCCAAAGAGAGTGGCGTATTCGGGTCCAACACGTGCATCGGAAAGCCTACTTTGCACTTGATCATATGGCGGGCTTGGCGTCATCCTCCCCGTTTGGTTTGTAACGGTTGGCTTTACCTCTATTGGATGGGTGCTTGGCTTGAACACGGCATTATAGGGTGTCCTACCCGCTACGAGTTCTAGTCAAGTCTAGTAGTTTGGGTCTCGGCTCTTTCTTTGTACTAACAAAGAAAAAAAAAGGATTTGTTTATGGTATGTATACTATTAGCTCAATTTAAATTTTGTATTCTCATTTACTACTTTTTTTGAAAAAAAAAAATATTATATACTCATTCATGCATTTTTAAATAAATATTTATTTTTGTAATATTATATTTTATTTAATTATTCTGTTTATTTTTAGTTACTGTCTTTCTATCTCATCCATCAATTATAAACTTTAAAATATTTCCTTTTTCCTCAAACCTTGTTAGTGAAATAAAAAAAATTGTCTGTATAGAGAAAAAAATTGGTGCTTTGATGCAATTTAGCCAAAGATAAAAAAAAAAAAAAAAAGTTTGGATACCCAAGTGTAATGCTTTATATTTATGGTACCCATATTTATCAGTTTTAATTACTAATGTTTCCTCAATCAACTAGTATGACTGTATGAGACCCTTGCAGTGTCTGTGTAGAGATATTCATTAATATTATAAATTAAAAATTCTATTTAAATAATATTTATAAATTAAAAATATGGAATCTATATGTAATGCAATTTACCTATAATAATTTATTGAAAATGTTATCTAAAATTAAATTGTGCAAAATTACATATAATTGTCTATTTATAATTTGTACACAATATGTGTGTGCACATAACTGATAATAAATTAAATTATGTTTGTTTCAAAATAAGTGTTATTTCAAATTTTTCATTCATAAATACGATTTGACCATAGTGTGATTCCACAAAATAATTATTTTGGTAAAAAATTTATCATATTTAACAACCTATGTGAATAATTAGTATAAATATAAAATTTATATTGTTTCATTACTTAAGATAAATTTATTGTTGTACAAATTATGCAAATAAGAAAATTAAGTAGTTGGGTAATTTATTAAACTATAAACAATTGACTATTTAGTTTACGTCCAAGTTAATATTGAAGATATGAATAATTATTTTTTTGATTTTTAATTTTAAATAAAAATATTTTATATTATATAATAAATTTAAACCATGCAACTAATAAAGGTGATAGCCGCAAGTTTTGTCAATATATTATATTCAAAATTTAAACCATGCAACTAATAAAGATAATAACCGCAATATTTGACCAAAATGATTCTGTAATTAATTTAGGCGAGATTTTTAAAATTTTGATAAAAAAAATTACCCAATCTAGTAGATCTGAATTTTTAGGCGAGAAACTAAATATTTTTTTTATTAATTTTAAGTTACTATTCTAATTAAATATCATTGTCTCTTTATATTAATAGATTACATATTGTATAAATGGTAAAAATTAGATGAAAACTAATGGGTAGTACCTTCCACCAACCAAAATCAATTACATTTGATCAAATTTGATAAAAAATGGATGATAACTAATGGTTTGGTTGTTGCTTCCAGACTGTCATAAATTCGGAGGATCGTTATTTATGGAGTCATCAATCACTTAATATATTGACACATGTCTAAAGTGTATTTATTGTAAAATACGTGTCAATACGCTATTTGTGAATATAAGTGTGGATGACTTCATAAGTCGTGTCGTCTGATGGCTCCATAACAAAACTGTGCACACAGTAGCAAAGTCAGAGACACTACTATCTTGAGAGTTCCAAGATAATATATAATTTGTCCAAAATATTTGTTCAAACTTCATAAAAATTTAACTGAAACTATTTTATTTTTTTTTTTTGTTTTTAAATGATGACAGATTTTAACAAATTATATGTTCTATTGTGAGAGTTTTAAAATAATAAATAACTTGTTGAAATTTGTTAGGTGAGGCTATTAAATTAAACGAGACCACTCGACACGGCTCGATAAGACTTGTTAAGGTTTGAAAACAGAATTTTTATATAATTTTATATGATTCGACTCGTTAATAGTGATAAATGAGTCGAGTTCGAGCTAGATTTCAGGCTCATTCTCAACTCGGTTCGAATCAACTCGTTTACATGTATGGTGTGGGTTAATTTCAACTACTTTGAATAAAAACAATTAATTTTCAAAATTCATATAATATTTATTAAGTTCTCCAAACTAAAATAAAGTATGGGGAACCAAACAAAGTCCCCTCATTTGGTCATTTTCACGTTTTGCCTCAACGAAGCACACAGCTAACTTTACATGAGATTTGGGAGAAAAAATATCATTCTTTGAAGAGATCTCTTCACCGGCGGCCGGATTCCAAATCCGCTGTTCATCGCGATTATCAACATTTTTTCGCACTCACAGTGAATAGCTAATATGAATGTAAGAAGCTCTCACTCCTCGTGTTTCTTGTGCTAGGTTCTTCGGATTGTTTGAGTCGAAATTCACCGGATCCAAGAATCAAAATCAATTTTTCGCTTAGCTGTGTTGAAAAATCAGCTATCTCTGTTCCTTTTTCTTCTGATTGGTTGATTGTTTTGATGCAGAGGAGAGTTGTGTTAATGGAGGTTGAGCCTCCGAGCGTGGCGAGGTATCTGATCGGAGCAGCTATAATGATGCTTGGAGTGGTGTTGCCGGTTGGGTATATGATGTTTCGCAACAAAAGAGGACCTTCTTCGTCGTCCTCGTACTCCAAACAGACGTAGGTCTGCCTTTCTCATTTTTATTTGATTTTTCAAAATTAAAGAAGACACCAATTTTTTTTTTTTTTTTTCAAGTTTTTCTTCCCTTCTGATCCAAATTTCTGTTACCTGAATAATTGATTTGTTTCTGATTGATGGGTTTTGTTTGTCTTGTGGAGAAGATTACATGTATCAATAAATGAAAATGTAGGGTGAATACCTTTTTATTTTTAATTTTTTTTTTCAGTTTTTAGTGAGGTTATTATGTTATAAGCAGTGTAAGCTCATAGTTCCAGCTGCGTGATTATGATTTACTGGGTTGGCCGTTCAAGTCGAGCCGGATCTTATCTGAGAGAGAATTTTGAATTGGGTTTGTGTTTGTTATGTGGGATTCTACTGATGGCTGTTTTTGCTGAGTCTTGCTGTTTAGAAAATGACTTGAGCTTTGATCAGGCAATCATCTTTTTTATTTCAGTTTATATATATTTGTCTGCAGGAACAAGGTTCTGATATAGGGTTTCCGGGAAGGTTTAATGTCTGATATTTGATCTCATGGCAAGGTGCTGTGCTTCAAAGAAACAAGTAGAGGAAGAAGATTTTGAATTCTCCTGTATATGCTACAGCATTCTCTGATATTTAGGATAAAATACAGATGAACTTGTCACTATTTCATAGTGATTTATGATCGTAATTTTTTCTTCCCCATGACATTGAAGCTGTCTACAGTTTTTGTATGATTTTAAGCATAAGTTCATTGTCTTGCAAGTGTTTTCTCTTCCCACTGGTTTTTGGAAATGGTAAATCAGTCTCTTTTCTGGGCATTGGTATGTCATAGTGGTTTTCTCTTTGCGGAAAGTACTTGCAAACTTGTATCATCGAGTTGGTATTTGTTTGTTGCCTGATTATAGTGTTAATCGATTTTGCAGTGAAGTTTCGCATCAATGTGGAATTGTAGTGTATTTAATAGCTACTGTAGGTTACTATACATGATTCATCTATGAGTTTTTCATCTCATTATTTACACTTAGAATTGTGGCATAATAATGCCACTGGGTTCGGAAAATGCCTTTGAACATGGTGGAAAGTTGTAAACCTTATCCGATTGCTTGTGTCCGACTTGCATTCTATGCAAATCTTGGAGATTTCTTTGTATCTTGGATGAGTAAGTAGAATGTGAAGAAATGACAATGATCTTCTAGCCATTAGTCCCTATCTAGACAGTATAAAATAATCTTCTACTTTTATAATTATTCTTTATTTTATTATAATTATTCTTTGTTCTTATCTTTTTATAATTACAAGGGTAAGGTCTGCGTACAACTGACCCCGCAGACCCCAACCTGTTTGGGAATATACTGGGTATATTGTTCGTATCTTTTTATATCATCATGGTAATGGGAATCTGTGAATAGCTCAAGAACTCAGCGCGAAAGATTAAATATATGTTGATTCTATGATCCCCTTGAAGTGTCACATGCTCTATACTTACATTCTGTGGCATTGGAAAGTTTGTGACTATCATTATAAATGGTTTGATATCTCAATATGTTGTTACACATTTAGGCAGGTAGCTCATTACTTAAGTCGTTATTCTCGGGTTTCTCTTCTGGAGATGCCAACCTCTTATTCTTATGTCATTACTTTAACTCAGTATTGTGAAATTGTTGATTATGGAATCTTTGATGTGTTGAAAAATGTTTTTGTAACATATTATGGAAATGCACTGAGAAGTGTTAAATATGTTTGGTTAGGTGATTGAAGTTAGTAGTTGAGAAAACTTTGCTTATAAAAGCAAATAAGATGTGCCATAAGAGTTCATTTGAATGAGAGAATTTCCGGTTGAGCCTCTGAGTGATCCATTCATTTGTGTATGGGGCTTCATGCTTGTGGGCACTAACCAATTTATACTTGTGTTGGTAAAAGAAGATATCAATGATGTCATAAAAGGTTTTAGAGCACGAAAACGGCGGAGAAAAAAATGATAGTGGCTGTCATTTGTTTTGCAAAAATGCAAGAAATCTAGCACTGAACAATTCACTGCATCTTCAGATCAAGATCTTTCAATCCAGATGATGGTATATGCATTTACCCCTAAAAAACGAGAAATGAAGAGTTGGAACTTTCTTTCATATAATCTAGATCACGAACAGGCAATTGTTGTACTTGGTGGGTAATCATCCCAGTGAAGCAGAATGGAGTGTGATAAAGATGTAAAAAAATACGCGAAATTCCACGTCAGCAAAGGAAAACAAACGAGTCGTTCTATAATTTGTTCCACCTTCCCAGTGCCTCACCCATGCGGACCCTATCACCCTTCTTGACACAAAATTTAAATTCAGACTGTTCTTTGTCTGCAGATATTGGAGCTTGAAAAACCAACACCACAGTTGATCCCATGTTGAAAGCAGCTAGCTGCAAGGAATTGTTAGCTAAATGTCAAATAGTACATTCAATAATCAGGTAATAAATAAATAAATAAATAAATAAATAAACATTACTTGGTACCATATCATTCTTTATTATTAAAATTAACAGCAAATATACACATGAAGGTTCTGTGAAGTTCCTTCTAGGAAATATATACATGAAATAATTTAGTTTTGGAGAGAATCAAATCTGCACCTCATCTCCCTTCTTAAGCAGCATGCCAATGCCTTGAGGTTCGTATACTTTTTCATCCGGAGACTCTGAACGTAGCAACTTCTTCCGGGGATTGTTTGTAATCAGATTTTGTTCAATAAAAAGCTGTCAACGTGAAAAAAGAAAGGAAAAAAAAAGTGAAGGCCAACGTGTATTATGTGGAGTCCTTGATGAATGCATTAACAACTTCATCAAGCAAAGCAACATCATCAAGAACCAGAAAACACAAAATATGGAAAGAACTATAATTTTGTTCTTATTTGTTGGGGTAATATGATGACAACTCTACTGATGCCACAGAACTATTGTAGCTCCAGGATTAATCCCTATGCCGTTTCAGTATATGCTCGTTTAAAACCTAACTTTGTTATACATGTTCTCTATATGAGTGGGTATGCTAATTACAAATACTTAAAGTTCCCAATGGGATAAAAAATATTTTTACTGATAAACCGCTAATAAGATAATTGCACTACTTTTTTTGTTTCATTATTTTCCTTTATATAGACTACTACATGTGTTTCCAATGGCCAAGTATACAATGATATTCGTAATTTACAAAATTGTTTGCAGCATTCAATGGCTGTAAATGTAGGACTCACCTCATTGTACCCTACTGTATCAATTAAATCCCTAGCACGTAGATTCTAAAGAAATGAATTCAAGAAATGCATCGTCCTTTCATGAACATGCCTCCTTTTATCTATAAATTATATTTGTTTCATTTTTCTCCAAAGTATCCCCAATAAAACATGTTCAATATCCATATTTGTGACAGATAGGGACCTAAAAGATTAGAAAAAGTGAAGGCAATTATTAATCAACCTTAATGGAACCAATGTTTGTTGCTCCTATGGCTGCCAGAGCCATATAGCCTTCTTGCCATTTACCTTCAAGCACCACCTATATACACATGATTATCTGTCAGCACAAAGCCTATAGATAAACAGTATAAACATAACATAAACATAAAAGGATATTCTAAAAGTTTAATATCAGTAGGAATAAATCTGGATTGGGATTCAGATAATAAATGGTGGATAAATATGCTATTAAATTCTTGATTTAGTGATGTTGAAATACTTAAAATATATCTTATTTCTTATAAATAAGACTGTTGAGTAGGAAGCAGAACTGGTCTTATGTTTATATTACCGTGAAGCCTAGTAACAATAAGGTTTCGTATGCAACAACAATTAACTGTAAACCCATGAGTTTGACCAAGTTCTAGGGCAGTGGCAAGTGAGCTTCGATAGATTGGATAAAGCATGATTAAGAATCATAAAAAATGGGAAACAAGCTGAAAATACATGTTTACAATATACACTTTGAGCTTTATTCTCAAATTATATTAATTGAGACTTTTCTGGGCGTTCGTTTGCTCCGTACTCTGGTCTGGGTATTCTTTCGCACTTTATGGTAAGGGTTTTACGTATCATGAATTCCAGGTACTTCATTAGTACCCTTGGAAAGAAGACTTCAAAGAACCAAGATATCTTTTTGGACAGAATATGCTTTAGACCTTAAATAGTGGTGGTTCAAAGAATGATGCTATTAACAGATTTCCAAAGGTTGGAACTTATTCGCTCTGCTGGTAACTCAGGTCAACCGTAAACTGACTGGGAGGTCTAAAGATGAGTTGGAAACTTATATTTCATCTGTGTAGATCTAATCAGTTGGCGAATATCAGAACAACAGTCTTGTTCCATATATTTATTCATGTTCAGGTCCTTGATCCAGTTTAGCAAAAACTCGTAAAGCTGTTTTCTTTCAGAGATCAAAAGTGGGATGTGACTTTTTCTAAGTAATGGGGAAGAGGACCAAAACATGCCACTGAAAGACTACCGAGACAAAGATGGAATGTCAAGAACATAGAGGAGGTAGGATGGGCAGTTGGTCAGATCTAGTATGGATCATACATGGACAGTAGTTGCAGTCGATAAAATCGTGAAATGAATATCACCTTGAAAAAATGATAATCACAAAATATGCAAGGAGAATATTAATGGGCTTTGGATCTGGATTACCCTTTCATTTTCAACATATAAGTTTCCAAAAGTTCTGGCTGCACGCTCATTCACTGGAAATAGATGACCTACAATGAAAATTGGATATAAAATAAATTCATAAGGGATTTGTAATACACAAATAGAGCACATAAGATGATTAGAGCTCAAAAAACGAACAACTAAAAAAATTGAAGAAACAGCTGATTATAGAGCATATATCTCTTCAATGGATTAAGAGGGGTTTCATTGTGGTTTCATGTCATTGTGTTTTCATGTCCATTGAAACAAATTGCAATTTTGCTCCACTACATTTAAACCAAGCATTCAGTGCTACGTCAATCACAGAGAACACTAGAAGTAAACAAATCAACATAGAGTAACACAGGGAAGATGGGCTCTCACTAAAATAAAGAGGTCAAGTGAATCTCATGCTTGTTCTTTTCATATGCAGAAGGCAATGGAATAAAGCCACCTTTTAGACATGTAAATGGCTGAGTGAAAAATTCTAGCTTACCTGTAAAATGCCGACGAACAAGAATATTCCAATCTACTGGAGAGTGTATCCGATGGTAGTCTCCAGGCTTCAGGTAAATTACGCAATAAAAGAGGCCTTTCAATGGGCTGCATAAGTACAAATATTAAAGGGTAAATCACTAAATCCAGTAGTCCAAATTACCCAAGCCATAGACTACACTTCCCTTCTTTTGTGTATGTTTTGAAATATTATCAAACTAGTTACTCCTAAATGCATATTTCCACAAAATCTTACAGTTGCTCTGGATGTTTTTGAAAATGCAAAGAATCAGTTCTCAGGAGAAATAAATGCACTTTTATCTTACGCATTTTTTTTTCTCAAAAATGTCAACATAGGGACCATAGACATGGGTATCATGCCTAATGACAACCATGGTACAGGCAATCTCTAGCAGTTCGTATATACCTTGTTACATTGGCAACCAATGGGTCAATATGGCAAAATTAATGTTACTCGAGGCGCTTATCAATTAGCAAGTTATATAAACAGAAATGCTACTGCCCAATTTACAGAAGCAATTAACATTTTCGTCTAATGATAATTGCTGCATCGAACTATTTGATACCTACCGGGACGATACACTATCTCTAACTTTAGGAGAAGCAAACGAAATTTTCCACCATGACTTTGGGGTCACATGTCCAACATTACTCTCCTCCACCCCACTTTCTTCGTAATTAGCATCTCCAGCAGCACTCATTGGAAGATAAGAGTTTCCACCAAGAAGGGAAGAAGCAGGATAAGAAAATCCCTTTACTTGCTCAATCATGGCCCCTGGTCCTTTTAACTCTCCATATCTAAGAACAGTGCCATCCACAGGACTTACCTGTACTCGCCGTAAAATTAAAGCAAACAAATCAATGGCCATGCAGTTCGGAGATGGCAACAGGAAGAATTACAGGGACATAAATATTCAGGAATCCTGTTACCAGTTACCAGACAGTAAGGATCAGAATCAATAGTCCTTGAGCCTTCTCTCAACGAGCGAATGAAAAATTCCTGTAGAGAAGCATATTCTTCTAAAGGTAGTTGTGCTTCTTCTAAATCTGAAACGTACACAGAAAGAGAAGTCCAAAGCATTCACTTAATGTTTTTACCAAGGAAATTTTCAAGTAGTTTAATTAAAATACTATAACGGGACATAAAATAAATACAGGTAGGAACATACTAGAGTGGAATGCTCGAGCCCATGCTTTATATACATATGGTCGCAGCCAAATGGGAAGTTCCTGGTAAAGGATTATTTAGCACGTTTATGTAACTTCAACTGATCACATGTCAGCCCATTAGTACGAGGATACACTCACCACACTAGTCAAGGAACCCCACAACCTTGAAATAGAGCGCAATGGTAGCAATCTCAAGAATCTAGCCTATCAACAATGAGAAGTGGAACACGAACCATGTAATGAGAAAATAAATATATTTAATGCCTTCTCGTATTAATTCAATGAGTTTTACCTTCACATCTGGGTGGAACTCTAATTCAACACCTGACGACCTGGCTTCCTCAATCTTTTATCAAATATTTGAGATGATCACGTCACAGACAATAACACATATTAGAACACAATAAAAAAATCAAAGAATTTACTGGGAAATCTCAAAATAATGGAAACAACTAAAACATAGTAATAGTAACAAAGAAAACAACCAAGAATGCCGCGGAGAACTGTCTAGAAACATTGCAATAAAACAGTCGTTCTTGGAGCAAATACAAGGGAATGATTAATACTGTAAACATATTGTTTATACAAGTTGGAAAAGCATAATCTGGACAAGCTTATACATATATTTCATAGATTACAAATGACAGTTCTGAACGATGATCATTTAGGCATGGTAACTACTGGTATATGACATCATGGTAGTGTGTGACTAGGTAAGATACAAGAAAACAATGATGGAAGAATGGATTTCATTAATACAGGTGGGTAATTAGTTGAACTTGTGAGAAAATCTGTAGTATTGATTAGTGATGGGGTAAGTTTTGAACAAAGAACTTGAAGTAAAAAACGTATATCATAAGCAATTGCACTGTGGGATAAAACAAATTCTCCAGTGGAACAAAATTGGAAATTTTGGTATCCAAGCACACTAATTACCTTGGGTTTGTTAGACATACAATAACAACCCTTTGGTGAATCACACTATTTATCTTGATGACTTCAAGACAAGCATAATGCAATATTGTTCAGAGAGAGAGAGAGAGAGAGAGAGAGAGAGAGAGAGAGAGAGAGAGAGAGAGAGAGAGAGAGAGAGAGAGAACATCAACAACGGATAATCCCAGTATGTTTCATCCATAAAAGAAGACGATGCTGCATGTGTGAGCAAACAAGGTTTATATGAAAGTTGATAAAAAAAAAAGATGTATAGAGAATTTCAGAAAGATTCACTTCGGAACATAAGACAACCCTTCTGTTTCCTCCACATTCATTCTGCAGTATATACTTACCTTATTTTCTTCTTTATTGTATCACGGTACCATAATGATTCCCTAAGATATCTACCAAGCAAATATCTGAAATCCATTGCTCCAATCAGGTCTAGGAGGATAAAACGTTTGTCTCACATATTAAAGAAATGGACCCCACTGCCCACATACGCAAGCTTGCAATTCTAGTACTACATAATGTACCATTATAAAAATATGAGCAAGTATTTTCTCTATTTAATGCTGCTGAATATCAAAGTTTATACACTACTACAACCTTCTTATCATCATATAATCGACGGGCATGAAGAGCACCAAGCATAAGTATCGTTGCCACAGTTGCACCAGGCACTAAGAAAGAATTACCTGCACAAAAGTTAAAACACTAGCTCATACAAAGTAACTGAATTAACTTTACTCCTGGCCATGGGACACAACCTCTTATCATGTAGAAATATAGAAAGAGAATCACAGTGTTCAGGTCCAAAGGCAATTTAGGAAAATCTAAGTTCCAGACATTATTATTTGCTGAACTACAAATTGGTGTTATATCCCGGCCCACCCAACCGTGATGTAAAAGGGATGTCGTCGTGTCGAGCATAGATTTCAGTTTTGACCTTTCTAATTCCTTTGTTTGATCTTCTCTTGAAAACCTAGCACAAAATAATTTCCTCTCTTCTTCTCCTCATCCACAAATTCAATATCCATTAAAATTCAGGCTCCAACACACACTCTCCCTCTCTCTCTCTCTCTCTCTCTCTCTCTCTCTCTCTCTCTCTCTCATACACACACACATTATTGCGCAAGCATAAGCAGTCGGGTAGCTATTGAGCAGGGCAATTTCCATAGAGTTATATCCACATAAATCCAGAGCAAACACTGAAATTAAAGTTGGAGCAAATTTGCAACTCTTCTGCTTTTTTTTTTTTCACACGTTTCCTTCCTTTTTTTTCCTCAGGTAAAAATAGAAATTTCAGTCATACCCTGCGAGTTTGTGCTGCTAC